TTTTATATTCCATAGCAAGTGGATTTGGGAGGTTCTATTTTGCCGGTTTGTTTTTGAGTACCAGTGAAGAATTGTGCAGCACCAAGTGAAATTGTGTTAGACTTCAAGTCTGAGGTCGATGCCGGTAAAGCAAACAAAATGCTTGTTTGTTTGTTACTGAAGGGTGATGTGACAGCCCAGGTTGTCCATCAAATCCTCAGTCCAAAGCTACCATCACGTGCCCGCTCACAGATTGTTGCAGCAATACTATGTAGTGGTTGTGAATTGTTGGAATAACAACTTCAGAATCACAAGCAGAGGCAAAAAGTGGGAAGGGGAAATATCCTTGGTAAGCAGTGTAATCCTGGGCCTCTGACTGAATTGAAACTTCTAGAGGTAAGTTCAGAAATCTGCATTATTTCTGGCTTTCCAAGTACTTCTTATGAGCTTTGGCATGTACAAAACACTGTAGTGGTGAGGCTTTTAAAAATTATTTACATTAGGATGAATTGTTGCTCTGGACATTTGTCCCACCTGTTTAAGAGTCAGATGGAATTCATTTCAGGACGACACCAGGCTGTATTATTCCACCTCCACCCCCAAGAGTCCTGCATCTGGGTAATACAAATATTGACCAGCTCGTGACTGGTAGAAGAGCACTAATGAATGCAGATCTTTTTTCTAAACCTTATCCTTCCGAAAGAGAATCAGATAGAAGTCAGCATTTAAAGTAATTGAACTTTAAACAGGAGACGGAGACCCAGGCATCGGAAGGATCACCGTGCAGGCTGGGAGGGTGATCGAGGACCGCATGGATGTTCTCGCTGTAGCCAGGCTTCATCCATCGGACCACAGGTCTCTTTCTCATCCGTTCTCCTTACCCCCTCCTAGTTTTTCTCTTACTCAAAGAATATTCTGACTTCAGAGCTTGCTTCACCTTTGCCCGAACTATGAGTGATATTTTCATTTGAATGTTCTTTCCAGTATTCAAATTTTACGTTATAAACCCTGGCTTTCACTGAAGGATTTTCTTAACCATTCAATGTCTGGAGGGAAAACAAAAAGAAACGACCCTTGACTCTTTCTCTCATCATTATAAATAACCGACGGTTTGTTAAGTGCAATTTTTCTTAAGATCATTTTCACTGTCTAATTCTTAAACAAAAGCATTCACCAATCACTTTCTATCCCACAGCCTCGCGGTCTGCATTCTACCTTCAAGCAAACAGCTTATTTTTGACATTAGATCCCTTGAGATCTATCATCAAGTGACAGTTTACAGTCATTATGACCGCAAGGTAAACGATGAGCCATCCCAGGGAGAACAAGCACCTTAAGCGATGGAAGTGTGATCGTTGACAGCTCAGTCAAGACTCCTTTCTGTCCTCCAGAGGGGAATTCTCTGACACGTCGGATAGCTTTATTTGGATGGCAAATGTTATTCTTGAACTACAAATAGAGAAGCATGCACTTCAGATAAAATCACCGGATTGATTTTCAAGGAACAGAATTTACTTGGATGATTTAGAGATTCTCGTGCATCTATTCTAAATCTATAGACTTTCAACAAAATGAGTTCTATCTTAGGCAATAGTGTATAATGCACACACTTTAAAACATATTTTTATGTGATAGAAGCTTGACATATTATTTCCCAAAATGAAAATGTGAACATATTGTTCCTTATGTTTGAGTTTCCTAAAAAATATTTTTTTAACCTTCATTCAAAACTTAGTTGGATTAAGAATGCTCATCCTGGCTTTTAAAATTTAAAGTTCACATATTAAATGTGATAATTTTCACAAATGGGCAACATCTAGTTTGCAATAGCAAGCTTTTTCTTGACAAATAAACTTTCCTGCCATTGCTATTTCTTTATTCTAAAGTTGCCAAAAGAAGAGATTAACATTTAAAAATATAGTTCCTGATATTTTCCCTAAAGATAATTTTATTCCCTAGGTTAAAAAAAAAATCCCCTAACGGTTATCACTGCTTCTTCATGTGTTTATTAGTTCTAGTGAGACTAAGTGTCAGACCACATTATTAAAATGTCTGGCATGTGAAAGCTGCATACGAAAACAGGGGAAAATGTAAGATAATGAATCAGACTAATTACACTCATTTTCCACTTTCTCCACCAAGATACATTTTTGGTACATTAGTCTCCTTGTTAAATAGAACTTACTCATAAGTTTGCTGTGAGCATTAAGTGAGTCAATAGATATTAGGCAGCGGTTCTCAAGCTGTGAGTTGTGACCCCTTTGAGGGTTAAACGACCCTTTCACAGGGGTTGCCCGATTCATAACAATAGTAAAATTACAATTATGAAGTAGCAACGAAAATAATTTTATGGGTGGGGGGGTCACCACAACATGAGGAACTGAATTAAAGGGTTGCAGCATTAGGAAGGTTGAGAGCCACTGATATAAGGTGATAAGAACATCACTAGGTAGAATGTACCTCTAAATAATAGATGTTATTATTACTATACTCCTATGAGCATGGCTATTATTATTACATGCAATATAATAATTATATTGTGTAATACTATATTATTATTACAGTGAATTCAGAGTCACTCTAGGGGGTTGCTATGAGTCAGCATTGACTTGATGGCAGTGAATTTAATTTATAGAATAAATTACTCCATTTGAGAAAATAATTCTTGGTGTTGAAATACTCAAAGTTCAAACTGTATGGTTTCTTAGCAAATGCATGGACAGCGTTTGACTTCTATCTTAAGGCCCTTTCATGTGAGATGGCTTAGAATGGAGAGGTGCTAGCCTGGGCTGGGCAGGAGACCAAGCTAGCCGTGTCATGGTCACAAGTTGGGCTGTGATCTTCAAGGTCACCTGTTTGAAGCTACTAGTCATGCTATGATAGAAAGACAGGGCTTTCTACTCCCATAAACAGTTACGGTCTTGGAAACTCACAAGAGCAGTTTTACCCTGTTCGATAGGGTCGCTATAAGTCAATGTGAACTCCATGAGAGGGAGTGAGCCTGGGCTGTCAGGATCAGTGTAGAGATGGGGCAAATAAAGAGGATCTCTTAGCAGACGCAAACCCACTGCCCTTGAGTCAATTGTAACTCACACTGACCCTAGAGGACAGGGTCGAACCGCCCCCTCTTTCTCCCGCAGGGTGGCTAGGGTGTCCAACTGTCCAACTGTCTTGCCATTGGCAGCCAACCTCAAAGGCACGATGCGACCCAGACGCAGGGTTGAGAATAAAGGGTCATAGGTAAGGAGGGTGCAAACCATGGTCTGTGTGTCAAAAAGGTCAAGTCCTTAAGGGGGAGACACCATAACCCAGGTAACTGGAGAACCAGGGAAGTGAGAGGAAAGAATAATGAGTCAAACAGGAAGGCCGAAAGTGGCCCTGGGTTGAAGCCAGGAGCAAAATCCACAAACAGCTTCAAGAGCTCTGATTCCTGGCGGGAATTCACGGTGCAGAGGACTGGAGCTGGGAGGTTGTCCATCACTCATTCCCGTCGCTTCTGCACGGAATCGATTATAACAGATCTGATCGACACGACACGCTAAACTCCACTTGTTTAAAAAAGACAGACATGTGCTGCATTGTGACACGTAAGTGAGTCACAGGCGTTTCCCTCAGATGCAGGTAAACATTTAAATTTCCCCTGGCAGTATTATAATTCATATATGTGATAAAATCATCATCAGAAACAGAACGAGGGCACCATGGCAGACGTGGAGAAGAATTTTTTTTTTTTCAGTTTTTTCAAAGATTACGTAGGGGACAAAGAGAGAAACCCAAATAACAGAACAACTGTCAAAGCAATACAAATCCACTTGTACACAGACTAGGGCTCCCTTGAAAATGACCTGGATCCAGAGCACAGTTTTCCTGATGGGGGCAATCGGGATTCCGTGTTCTAGCTGCCTCACCGCGTGTTGGCGAGGCCTCTGCTGCAAGGGAACACAATCTACATTCTGAGGGACCCATGTCTGTGTCCAGGCAAGCCCTTCGGGGACATCAGTTGAAGAATTGCCAGAGCTGATCGAGAAGGGAATCACCACTTGCATTGCATTTTCCTTTGACAGGAGTTCCTAACTTTGCTGAAGAAAATACATCACATTTCCTCACAGGTCACCTGGGTGTCTTTCTCCTTAAAGAGTATGCGTGTGCATGTGGGTGTCTGGACACACACATGGATAGTATATATGTGTGCATGTAAGTGAATGTATAAGTGTGTGTTTACTGTTAAGAACATTCAACTACAGAGTTTTAGAAAATTTACATGAAGATGGCTTACAAATGAAATAAGAACATTTTTCTTTAAGATACTATGAGTTACCATGATAAAATGTTTCATCAATTTGATCTTTTTTTGCTCAGGGGATTATGGAAAGGTGTACTTTCATCTGTCTCGGTTTCTTGGACATGTGGCAGAAATGAATTTCAACTGCATTAGAATATACAAATGTGTTCAGCACATGATGAATGCAAATTATTTGTGAATACTTAGGAAGTTTTCACAATAGAACATATGGGTGGAAAAGTGCTCAAGTTCTAATAAACAAGAACACCAAACAGAGAGACTTGCTTAATTATACACAAAGTACACATTTTCATAATAGAAATAGCTCTTTTTCCACTAAACTATTTAGACAATCTGAATTTTTATTTTTAAAACAAAAGATATTTTTGATGTCACATGTGTCTTTAAAAAATAGGTTTTATCAGCAACTCTTTAACACAAGTACATATCTGAATAGAAGTGAAAATGTTCTATGCACACTCCCCCTCATAATCTCTCTACTTCATGAAGTGGATCATTCTTCTAGAGATGGCAAATGGACTGGATCACAAGGCAGCAATGTTACTCCAGTCGGAGACATAGCCCCATTCATTGTATCGGCGCCCACATGGCATTGTAATACCAAATCCTAAAGCAAAACCAGCAAAATTCAATAGACATAGAACGCCGTGGTTTTATCGTCGCCGCAGTTGTGTTTGAGAAGCAGTGAACAAACAACCAATATCTGGCAGTTACTTACGGATGGGTAGAGGTAACCTTCTCCATTCATGGCTATATACAACCCAGTCTTCACGCCCTGGATGGCAACAACACGCAGGCCCACAGGGATGAGGTTGAACAGTGCTGTGAAGACAAACGCGGTCGGTCACAGACGAGAAGGGAGGCACAAAAGATCGCCAGACCTTCTTCCTCTCTCGATTACTTAAAGCACGACAACACTGTTGTCCTCTTCTAAACACTTTCTGTCAGATAAGTTGATTGATTGATTGATTGATTGGTTGGTTGGTTGGTTGGTTGATTGATTGATAGCTATGAATGTTCAGCCCCGGGTATGGTAGCTGTTCAGCTTCAGCGTGTCAATCTCCTTAGTAGTCCTGCCTACGGATTTTGATGAACTGATGGGATAATAAACAGAATCGAGGCTTTAATCCTGATTCTAGTGTCACCACCTCTGACACCATTCATTGCAAAAACAACTCAAAAAAATCAATTGCAAATATTTCAATGAGCAGAATTTTAGTCCAAGGTGAAGGTTCAATCTGGTCTTTCATGCAGAAATGGAGGTTCATAGGTAGTGGAAGTGAAAAGCCAATCCCCAAACTAAATAACTCTTGCCAAACCAACATGAATCCATAAGACCAGGAGCAAAAGGACAATCTATGTGTCCGCCAATGGTTAACTCACCACACTGAATGGCACGCAAACTTTGAAGGTCATTATTTCATTAAAAATGTGAATGACAATCCAAGTAGGACAAAAACATTCAATTCTACCAAAATAGAGGTGTGTGTGTGTGTGTGGTGGGTGGGGGGGGATGTGTCCATTTTAAATGTAGGCCTTTGTTGATAAATAAAAATACATTTGTTTATATATTCCATGTAATACTGATATAATATTATTTCTGCTGTTAGGTTTTTAAAAAATTCTTACCATTCCTTTAGGGTATTGCCATACAGGGTTCATTGGATGATTATTTATTGGACCTTCCAGGACTTTTCTTAGAGATAACTGTTTGATGATTAGGAGAGTGTATTAAAGCTATATTTATAGCAATACGAGGGCTTTGTATAGCTTTCCAGGAACAGACATCGTCCTCATTCGCCCAGGGAGCAGCTCCTGGGGTTGAACCTCCGGCTTTGCAAGTAGCAGTCAATGCTTACTGGGCATCACCAAAAGTGCTGCTTAATCAGACACTAGTTTTTGAAAATGCTGCCATTTAGTGGATGAAGAATTCTAAAAGTCCTTTTCAGGTCATAGGGGAGCTAATGACGAAGTGGCCACCAGCATCAAGCACTTTCTATATTGGAACCGTTTAGGTACCATCAATGATGTTCATATCATTTTTTCCTTCTCAGAAGAATCTAGATCTCAGTATGGAAACCTGTGAGGATATGAACTATGAGGACTAGGATTTTGACTCTCCTTTTGATTCTAATGGTATAGTGGTAACACATTGGCCTGCGATCCCCATGGTCGGAAGTTTGAAACCACCAGAAGCTCCGCAGGAGAAAGATTGGGCTTTCTACTCCAGTAAACCATTACTGTCTCAGGAACCCACAGAAAGTTGCTATGAGTCAGCACTGACTACATGGCAGCGACTTTGGGTTTTCTGATTCTTAGGAGCCCTTGTTGTATGCTAGGTGACGGATGGGACTGCTAGGCACAGGGTCACCAGTTTGAAGCCACCAGTTACCCTGAGGGAGAAAGAAGGCTTTCTACTCACATAAAGAGTTACCATCGCAGAAACCCAGTGGGGAAGTTCTACCTGCTCCTATAGTGTCACTGTGAGTCAGAATCCACTCACTAGCAGGGAGTAGGCTGTGTTTTGTTTTATTGTTTTGAATAATCAAGGAAAATTCCTGACAAAAGCAGCTTATAACAGTTGTTGGGATTTCACTGGGTCTACATAGTAGCATGTGTAGTTGTAGTGGCTTGAAAATAAATCACGAGAATTTGAGAGTTAAAGTTTGAGCTTTGTGATGTATGTCCTGGGCGACTTTCAGTCTATTTCTTACAAATTCCTTATTTATGCAGGACTAATCCATGTTTCAGGAGCCCCAGTGTTGTAGGGTTTAGGAGCTGGAAAGTCAGCAATTTCAAAGCACACCAGGTCCTCCTTGGCAGAAAGACGAGGCTTTCCCCTCCCGTGAAGAATGCAGTCCCAGAATCCCAAATGGGGGCCGTTCGACCTTGACCCTACCTTTTTGCTATGGGTCAGCCTGGACCCCTGGGTAGCGAGTTTTGAGAATACAAGTTTGAAGGAGCCCTGGGCCATGCACAGGGGCAAGGTGTGGCTGGCTGCTCTGGTCAAGGTTTTAAACACCTCAGAAACCCAAAGAAGTATTTTATTTTGTCCTACAGGGTCTTTATGAGTTAGGACTGACTTGGTGGCCGGGGATTTGGATGTGATTGAATTGATGTCTTATGTACTGGGGATTAGAATGCAACTCTCATCCAATCGGAAGGACTGTTCTCTCAATAGATTCTGTTGGCCAGCTTTTCCAATGAATGTCCCCAGTTTTAAAGAATGTGTTTCTCTTCTAACACTATGCTAAGACTTATAAGATTACTGTAATGCCAGAGAAAAGAAATATATTAAAGTGTATCCTCCTAGATTAAAAATGTGTTTCAATTCAAAGTGTGTTAGTTCAGAAAAGCGGCGTTAATTATTAATTTCCACTGCCTTTTGAAACTGCGATTCCCTAGCCATCTTTTTGATTACCTTTAGAATCATATCAGTCTTATAGCATTTTGGAAAGAGAGCCTTTAGTTCACCCTGCTTTGTTTTGTTCTGCAATGTCTTGAAAATGGTGACAGGGCAAACCTAACGGGCTTAACATGGACACAAAAAGCATGTGCTATATAAGGCGAGAAGCTTGGGATGGATCCTTGCCTAGAAGCTAAGGCACGGACCGGCAGACCAGGCGTTCGACTCCTGCAAATAGCGAGCAGTCTCCTAAACCTGGGGCCAGTTCTACCCGGTCCTCAGGGTGGCCAGGAGTCGGCATGGACTCAGCAGCTGTGGGTTTGGGTTGTGAGGGAACGTGGGCGCTGTGCTTTGGCTCTGCCATGCTTGAACGAAGGAGCTCCTCTTGGGAATGAAGGAGCTCTTTTCAGAGTGCACACCCCTATCTTAAATGGGAATCAGAATGGATATGGAGCTCCTAGGAATTACTACTGCTTTGTCTGATGCAGGAAAGAAACCCCACATATTTAGAGAACACAGGGTCACGCATTGTTCAGCATCTCACCATTCCAGTGCTAGTTTTTAATATGATTCCGATAACCAGACACCATTAAAAAGTACCAAGGGCAGCAAGATTTCTCGTAAAGTCTTTGAAGTAAATGGTTTTACTTTTTACCAAGGAGTCTCCTAATGCTGCATTTGCCTACAATACAGTTTCATTCCTGTCAAAAACACAGACATGATATGCATGACATCAGTCTCTAATCTTATAAATGTTTCAGAGGGCCATAGCGCATAGAGGGGTCAGAGCTATGGAAACTAGTTTCATGCTCTATTAATCTCTGGCCAATGAAAATCAGAAAGCATTGAAGATATCAGGACTATGAATACCTAAATTTCATGACCCTACAACTGTAAGGCATAAGAAGGGAATGGCTTTAATCAGAGTAGAAAAGGATTAAAGATATGGGGGGAAATATGAGGAAACGTATTCGTTCAAACATGGTCAAATACTGATACCTTTGAAAGGTTCAGTCTAAGAACAAAGTCCCCACAAATATCAGGGGTTTGACAAAGATCTTATGAATAAAAATGTCTCTTCTTTACTCTCAATTGTGTCCCATTCTTTTACTAAATCAAAAGAGAAAATAAATTATAAAAATTAACTGATGAGCAAATACAATTGTGAAAAGTTCAAAAGTACAAAAAGAAGATATGTTAGCTACAAGGAGAACAAAGAGATTAGAAATTTAAAGTAGGGAAAGTGCAGACAAGCAAAACTTTAAAAGAAGTTGAAGGGAATATTTTTTAATGAAGCAGTGCCCCCGAAATAAAAAAACAAACACAATAACCAGCAAACAATAGCTACTTTGTAATTTTAGCTACATTTAGAGCTATGTTAGTAACATCTGATTATCAGAATCTAAAATGAAATGTTGAAATTAGAATTTAAATGAAATTTTAAATTGGAATTTAAAAGGTCTTATCTTGAGTAAATATCTTAAAATCTTTCCTTCTTGCATGGAATGATGTTACACATATATGCCAAGAATAAATAAAAATTGGATGAAAATATTCATCACAGTTCCTGAATCACTAATAATATATTCTGTGATTAAATATTTCTAGCACTATCTGTTTTTCTTTCTTGTTAATTCTTGCAAGCAGTAAAAAGCATGTATTTTGTAGGAGAAACATATGAAATAAAAAAAGGCAGCTGATGATCGTATAAATACAAAATAGATAAGAAAAACCATATATTTGAAAATGGAGCAACACCAGGACTAAATACAGAGTTGTCCATAAAGGAATAGTAGAATTAAGAGAGACACTTATATAACGGAAGGTGTGTGGCTTTTTATAATAAGGATATTAAATATCACAAAGCCATTCCCTGTAGTCATGCATTTTGTATAACGCTTTCAGGTCACCGCCTCTACATCCTGTCTGAAGCATAAATATATGATCATTTTTAATGTACACAACTATTTTCAGTTACATTTCTATGATTTGACAAAACTAATACCTATAGCTCTGGAATTTACACAGGGTTCATGAGGAAGCTATAGGTCTGAGCAAATAATATATGAAAAGTAAACATATAATCAACTGTACTAGGGTACTTCCTGCACTGTTGAGACAATGTGGTGAATCTGCTGGCTTGGAAAAATGTTTAAAGACAAAAAGTCATGAAATTATTTTAAAATTGAAGACTACTGTTGCTCTATTAATTATTTCATCCACGTATATTTATGCAATGGTCATTCTAGAGCATAACATTTGTAAAAATTAGCCAACACCAACAAATATGTGTAGATGTAGTTGAAGGTCATTTACGTAGTACTATACCTTCCACAAACAGTGTTCCCCAAGGACCCTAGGTTGCCACTTACTGGAATTGGTGCTGTCATCCTTGGTCCCATCGAGAGCTCCATCGGGGTGCATTTGCAAGTAGTAGCCTTGCCTGCAATATAACCGGGTCACTATACCCTTGAGTTGGGGATCTGAAAGGCAAACAACAGTTGTCATGAGCTTTACAACGTGCCAGACAAGTTTCTTTTTTTTTTCTTCTCATTCTTTTTTCCAGCCCCATGAGGGCAATTTTTAGAAGTAGCATGTTTGGTTTTAGGTCTCTTAGATTGCCCTGTGTGATTTTGAATGCGGACTATATTCATCACAGAGGCGGAGGAAAAGACACTTTAGTTAAGTTGCATAAAACAAGTCGTTGTATGAAGTGAATATTAAATGATTACCCTAACCTTATCTTTCAGGATGGCAGTGCAACTATTTTGCAAATGCCTGGCCCTAAGAAACTTTGTTAAAGCCTTGTTAGGTAACTATTCCTTTTGTCTTGAGGAGACAGTGCAGCGATTCAGATTCAGAAACAAAAGCCTGAAACTCACTCCCATGGAGTCAATGCGGACTCACCGTGACTCTCAAGGACAGGGTAGAACTGTGATCACTTTGTGGATCGCAGTACAACCACTGGGCCACCGGCCCAACCCTCTACACAGACAAGCAGCACTGCCCCAGAGAAGCTGTCAATCTTCTCAGAAGCAGGCTGCCTACTCTCTCTCCCATGAAGTGACTGGTTGGTTCAAACCGGTGACTTCTTCACTGTCAAGTGCTTTAACTGCTGCACTATGGAGGCTACTTAAGTATACCAGTAACAAGCACCCAATTTTAAAAAATCCATTTTAAAATTTCCTACTAACATTCTAACACGTATTGTAACTAAAAGTCCTGATAGGGTCTATACCCACTAATATGCATGGAAACATCTCTAGACATTATGGATTATTTACAGAAATATAGAAAAGTTGAGTCCTATATTTAGAGTGAAGTATAACATCACACCTAAACAGTGAGGCCAGTTTAGAAACAATAAGTAAATAATTGGAAAAATTACGCAGGGATATATTATAATGTATAATATTTAAGAGGAATATAAATCATGCAATAAGGGATTTTATACTTTGATATTAAGAATTGGGGAGAGAATGCTGTAATGTTTATTAAAACAAAAAAAGTAACATATGACTACAGATGTCCCATTTGGCGATTCATTCAAAAGATATCCACTCTAATACTCCTGTTTTTTACAAAGAACCAGCTGTACCTTTGAAAACAAATATTTGCACAGGGTTTTTCAAAGGCCATATCCTCATCACATTTACATCACAAGATTTCGATGTGGGGCATCATGATGTTTGTCATGGCAACAGCCGTATCTCCCCAGCAGCTAAATGGGACATGCACATTTGATCACGCTGCCCAAACAGTAGGACATTACTGCTGGAGGAGGCCCAGCATCTTGTCATCAAGAGACAAACCATGTCCTTGTGAGCAGGTGAATACAGAAGCACATGTACGAGAAACGGAAGGTACCCGAAAACTAGATTTCTCAGAGTTCCACTTTTGTTCTCAAAAATGGAAAAGAATTGCAATACGTGTCAATGCACAGTTTGTGTATCGAACAGTTTGAGAAATGCTGATGTTAGACACACTCTCTTCACAGGTCATATTCAGACAAACATTCTGGAAAGGATGCAGGAGCCCAATGGCTTCACAGCATCATCCTTTTCACAGACCCAGGTTTTGAAAGAAACATGGGAGTGATCCTGGGACTGTGTTACACATGGAAGGGTTCTTTGAACCGTGTGACATAGCTCTCGGAGCACAGAACTTTCAAGAGCACAAAATTGAAAGTGTCCATTAGTGTAACTAGAAAACAAAAGCCGTGCTTTAGGCTGTCACAGTATGTCTTTTTCCCCAAAAAACATTGATTTTATTTTGCAAGAGGTTCCCACTTACGCCCACCCTGCTAAATTTAAAAAAAAAGTGCACTGAAAAGAAGGGATTTTAAAATGTTTGTACACTTTTTACATCCTAAACCCCCAGGAGTCCCAAAACATTGACCTATTTTATTTTGTAAGAGGTTCCTATTTAGGAACACCCTGTTAAATAACAATAATAAAAAAACAAAGAAGAAGAGGAGCAGGGATTTAGACACTTTTGTACAATTTTTACATCCTAGGTCCGATGTGTTGGAAGGGTGAAGGCAAGGCAGGCCTCTGGACCCCTAGACCCACATCCACCTGAGCACTGGGATGAAAGGCTCGGAGAGGAACTAAGCAGCTCCCTTTGCCCAAGCCCAGGTAGGAGATGGCAAAGGATTCACCAGGTACGTTTGGACTGCACTATCACCTTTCTAGTTAGTAAGAACTTATTTTATTAAATTTTCTCCTGTAACATATTTATACGAATTAATGGGAACAAGTAACATCAAAAAGAAGAGCATAAAAGAAAAAAAAGGGAAGGTGGATTTCCTGAATATCACGAAAGCAAACAAAAAATTGTAGAGATTGATACATTTTCTCTAAAATTTTTATGGACCCATATTATTTCATTCTTAGCAATCCAGTCTTTTAGCTATGATACCTCCAAGACTTGAATTAACTTGGATAGCCAAATAGTAAGAAAACAGTAATTTTCTCATGAACACCCCCACAGCCCCCCCAAATGGGGCCCTTCGTGACCACACATTTCTGATGAGAGCATACTTGATCTACAAAATAATGTTTCTGGTGTTGTATTAGCTTTGGCATAATTTCAAGGAACAAAACCAAGTTGGGTTTTGATTCACCTAGTTTCACATTATCTTATATAGATTGTTGTAGACATACTAAAATGGACTGTATCCAGAGGTGCCAGGCATGGTTCTGTGCTCCTTATACAATGTACTAAACTTCACCCCCACTTTATTTCAACCAATTTTGAAAATGAAACAAGAAGGATCAAGTAATCTGACAACACCCAAACATAACTACTGAATACCGACTGGGATTTCTATTCAGCACTCATGGAGAAGGACTGATGGCGTCTGTAACAATGGGCTGAAACAGCCCAACGGTGAGGCTCACAGAGGACCAGGCCGTGTTCGGTTCTGCTGCACACTGGGTCCTTCTGAGCTGAAGTGAACTGGAAGGCCCCTAACTACTACAGCACTCAGCCCGGAGCCGGTCCACTTCACCAATGGACTAAACTGCTTCTCCAGAACGAACGTGTGAGCTATAAACCATCCCCTTTTCAAGCCAACAGATGTAGAAACACATAATAATTCTTCATCAAACTACTGTATGATGGATACATTTCCACCGCAGAACCACATCCAACATCTATGTTTAGACGTTTTCCTCCCATCCCAAACCACCCACTATCATTCAGTGGACTCAGATTCATATATATATATATATATATAGGGTTTCCCAGGCTGTAAATCTTTATGTGACCACCAATCTAGCCTTCCAGTGCTTACCTGTCGGTGCCACCAAATCTCCGCCCCAATCCCTGCAATGAGCATCACCTGAGTCATTATCGGGTTCCTATTAATGTTCCATTTCCCCCCACATTTTTCTGTCTCCAATATGATCACGTCCATAAAGATCCCTCCTAGCAGATTTCCTCATGGGCACAACTGTATTCACGTGCGTGCGCACAAACACACACACACATCTTTCAGGGTTAATGCCTTCTACACCTTCACAGTTCCATCAACACCAACTCAGGGACACTTTTCCTGACACGTCAGAGGAGGTCAGACTCCACTTTTGAATGTTTTTCTATTGGCATTCATCGTAGATGTAATAGATTTAGCATCAATTGATTTAAGCAAAAGGCGTTATTCCTTTTGGAAACCTTTGAAATGAATCACAAGGGATAGAACACACCACAACCAGCACCCGCGCACGCAGCATTGAGGTTAAACACAGGCTAATTATTTGCTACATTTTACTTTATCATGTATGGGTATAATTCACATTTGTAAAAACCAAAACAATAATATGAAACCCAAGATGGCAGTCACACACACACACAGAAGATTCACTGCCACTGAGTGAAAGCAACTAGAATTTTTACTCTCCAAATGAGAGGTAGTCTTGCTAACCCACATAGGCAGTTTCAACCTGCCCTATCGGGTCACTATGGTGGCGCCAGGGCAAAGCCTAAAAATGCCCACGACATTTGAGCAGGTAGTTGAGCTTAACGGAAGTCTAATATGTGTATAAATATTTATTATATTAGATGTAAAAATTACTATCCAGAGGGATAAAATGGCAGGCAATACACCTAGTGCTGAATGACTGTCTATTCATGCAGGGAATTTGAATATTTGTTTTTCAACGTTTTACTGTTTTCAAAATTCCCTATAACGATGACATGCTAGTTTTGTAATGAACAGCAGTGATTTTCATAAAATATCTTGCTTAATAGCTTTTGGCAAAGAATGTGTAGAAATAATGATGCATACATATATGCAAACAATATTGCACACAATAGTTCTTTTTTATTTCTCATGGGCCATATAGTCGACTGATGGCTTCCGACTCATAGCCATCCCACTGAACACGAAGTGTCCCTTGGGGTTTCCAAAAGTAGATTGCCACATCATCCTCGTGCATTTCAAGTGCTCACCTTTTAGTAACTAACCAGGCACCTCGCCACTGCATCAGCAGGGCTAGACGACTTCATACGTAGCTGTAAAGGATCTAAAACCTACAGTACTGTGGTATATCACACTATACTTCTCCATTCATTTATTTTTGTACATGGTCACATCACCCTAAAACATTTGGTTCTTTATTCTCATAGGATCTACCAACATGAAATATAGCCATCCTGAGATTAATCTCCTAATGTATGCAGTCAAATAATCAGCATAAAAACAAAGAGCTGGTAACCAAAACCTACCTATAAACAATTGCATTCGGTACGTGCAGTCAGGCAAAAGACTAGCTCAGTTTCTAGATCTGTTATAGAGAGGAAAACACGACCCTTGATGTGTACACTCCACAGCAAGTCTTGACTTCAATCTGAGGCCTGTTAGAAAAATCATTTACCTGTATTATTTCAAGACATGGTTAAAAGGAAGTTACCATGAAAGGGCCAAGAAAATCTCACCTGACTGCCAGGCCTGAGAAGACCCAGCCTAGGGAGTTGAAAT